TAAACTACTTGTACAATAAATTTGCACAATGATTTTGACAATGTGTGATGTGTATAGATCATTGCCATTGAATTCAAAAACAATCTTTCAAATCAATGGACATAATGACTACCAACTCACACATTGTCAAACTTATTGTCAAATTCATTGTACAAGTAGCATGGTTCTTCTCAAATTATTGGTCACAACTTAACAATTTTTTAGGTGACGTGTTATTTATTAGTCACAAATATTTATTTCATTGGCCACATATTATTTAGTAGTCTCACATTAACCAATTTATTGATTTCAATCAACTAAATAATTTGTGACTACCGCCGTCACAACTGTAGCCGCTACCAACACCCCCATCACCATCAGTATCACTTCACCAGCACCATCATTTGTGACCACGACCACATCACAACATCATCAGAACCTTCACTTCACCACCACAACCAACACCACCTCACCACCAACAAATCAGATCCGAAACTGCCAACACCCCCACAATCGCCATCACCTCACTGTCGTCATCGTCGCCTCCATCATTGCCTCCATCACCACCACCACCACCATTTCCAACCAACACTCCTTCACATACCTGTTAACAAAAAACCATCACGGTACCAACACCTCACCGCCACCACCTGTACCACCACCATTGCAACCAATCACCACAGCAACAACCAGTGAAAGGTTCTTCCCACTGCCAAGATCCCTAGCTTAACTTCGTCAACGTCGCCTCACCTACCTCCACCTACACCACCAACAAAAACCACCCCAAACCCCCAACAACGCTAAAATATGGAAAACCACCACCACCACCACCACTCCTACAACCAAAACCAAAACTACCTCATCTGATCCACTACTACCTACACCATCATCACCACTGAACTGCAGCAGCCACAACAAGGGTGAAGCCACTTTGAGACGTTCACATCGCCGCGCTGCGACGGCGATCCGCAGCAGCAGCAGTGATGCCTCTTCACATAGTTGCGGTGCGACTCGTCGTCGCAGCAGCGACGCTCACATCAAGCGGGGTTGATGCAGTGGCATCCCGATGGTGGCAGCAGCGACTGAGGGCAGATAGATGGGTGGTGAAGAGAGAATGAAGATGAGAGGTAAGAGAAAATGATTTTAGAGTTTGAATGTGATATATAGAGTAGGGTGTGTGTACATTAATTAATTTATAATATTATTATTAATATTGATTTGTAATAATTAAATTAATATCTAATTTTTGTATAAATAAACATCAGATTTCATTTTTGAAATTGAATCTTACAAAATCTGGTTAGATGTAAGTGGAAATTACATAGAGGCCTA